TTGAATGTTCCCAGGGATGGGGCCTCCACTGCCTCTCTGGGCAACCTGTTCCAGTGTTTTACCACCCTCATTGTAAAAAATTTCTTCCTTACCTCTAGCCTGAACCTACCCTGTTCTAGTTTAAAACCATTTCCCCTTGTCCTAACACAGCTGGCCCTATCTTCTTTAAAAAAAATAGCAATAGAAGTTACCGTGTCGTGTTCATGTGCGCACGGGGGGATGGAGGAGAGCAGGGGACAGGGATGCTTGTATATAATAATAAATAACACAAGAATTTAACGGAAGGCTCCTCTGGATTAGGTTTTTGCACAAGTAAAAATACGCACTTCAATGTTCTCAAAAGATGTAAAGAAGCTATTGCCAGTGGACTGCAGAGAGATGGGCACTCTGTTTGCACTCACACTTCAAAGTAGCTGTGTCTACTGTTACCAATGTTCATTCACTTTGGTTTTTTTTTCTACTTCAGAGGATAGTAGAAAATGAGAAAATAAACGCAGAGAAAACATCAAAGCAGAAGGTGGATCTTCAGTCGTTACCCACACGTGCCTACTTGGATCAGACGGTTGTACCTATCTTGCTACAGGGACTTGCTGTTCTTGCAAAAGAGAGGTAAGACACTTCAGTGTTCCTTCTGTTCTTAGGAAAAAAAGTAGGTCTCAGACTTGAGTGGTATGTCACCTTTTCAGACCTCACGCACCAGACACAGTTTTGTTAGTTTGCTAGTTGTAAGAAAGTCATTACAGCAGGCTTATGAACCTATGAATTACTACGATTGACCGTGCAGGACGCGTTCCTCACTTGGGCGCATTTGGCGTGATGAGTTGTTTATCGAATGTGTGACCTCCTGATGAGGCATGCTACTGCAAAGGTTTTGGAAGGAAAAATATATTTATTTATTTTTTTATTAATTTTATCACCTAATTCACCTTATAGAAGCAAGGCAAGAAGTTGTTCTAGTTTTGAACAAAATTTTTGTAGTGTGGAATTATGAAGAGTTCTGCTTGCTATTTAAAAGACAGACAGACAAATCGGGCCTGACTTGCATCTTTGCTGGAGATCAAAACACTTTCTAAAGGATAAGGCTGACCCTGCACTGTCAACACAGTAAGAAGCAGGCTGATAGTTTATCCTTTGAGTAAACATTGTGCTCTCAAGGTGCCCCGAATTTTTTCTCAGCCAGTGTAGAAGGGTATTCTCCAATAACAGCAAACATTTGTTCATCTTACACCAAAAGGCTTGAAATCAATTTGGATATCTGAGCTATTGGCGAGTCATACTGCACATAACTGTTCCTCAGTTTTGCCAAAATAACGTTATCAAAAGCTGGTATGGATGATGGTAATCACATCACGGTACCTACAGCCAGAACAACCATCAACAGTGTCTCAACCTCAAAAGGAGTTGTGAACATGAATTGCATTGTACAGACAGCTCGTTAGGCAAAAGAGCATCTAGGAAGGTACACCCCACACCCCGTGGGCACACCTGAGCAGCGTGCGGATCTTCAGCTGACACCTGTGGGAGCTCTGCTGCAGACCGAGTGTAAAACACAGCCTAAGGTGGATACCCCGCACTTAGACTCTGGGTACTTGTGTGGCAGACAAAGGGGTTTTTTTAATTATTGTTTCGTACCTTTCTTCAATATGGAAGGAGCTGTTCGTTATGGGGACTCATCACAGGAGTGAAATTGGAACATTGATAGAAGATGTTAGGGAAAAGAGGAAAAAACCTTACGGTATCAAACGGTCAAGGTCAAACTGCCTGTTCAGTTGAGCGTATTAAAACCTCAGGGGTGAGAAAGCAGAGCTGGTAGTTCGGCTGTACAGTCTTCTGCTTAAAATTGAACTGAAAAGTAACTAATGGATGCTAAGGTTTTTTTTTTTTTTCTAAGGAATATAGAGCTGTTCAGGGAACAGCACAGTACATCTGATGACTATGCCTGGAATTCAGTAGAAATTATCATCCAGGATAGTGAGCATGTGGATAAATGACATATTTGGGAGGAGGCAACACCACTTTTGTCAGGTCTTGTAAGTCTCCTGGGAGTTCACTGAAGGAGTCAGCAAGCACATGTAAACAGGAATCCAGATGACACAGTCTGTTTAAATTTCCAAAAGGTTTCTGGCAGAGTCATTCGTTAAAAGCTTTTAAAGAGACTTGCTGTGGGATTGAGGGAAAAGCCTTTATATGGATGAGGAACTGATTGGAAGACATGAGACGGAGTAGAAGTAAATCGTGAATTTTCACGGTGAAATGAGCTCAGCGCTAGAATCCTGGAAAGGATCATTTATAACAACTTGGAAAAAGTGGCTAACAAAATCTGTTGATGATACCGAGTTTTACAGAATAGGTTGGAGGTTTTCTTGTTTTGTTTTCTGCTTAGTTTTTTGAGTTTTTTTCAAGTTAATTGATTGTAAATAATTGCATGGGAACTTCATAAACTCGATGTGAAACTATGGAAGACTGCTATGAAAAATTGAAACTATGACAAAAAGCCAAAGATTGCATACAAGTAAACAGAAAATTATGCCCCCAGGAGGGTAATAAATACCCTAATGCTAGTGACAAAATGATAGATTCTGAGTTGACAATTACCCTTGTGAAAAAATATTTTTAATCTCTTAAATGTGGATGTCAGTGCACGGCTCAATCAAAAATAAATTCGGAATGGTAGGACTTAGAAATTGAAGGGGTGAAAACAAGCACAGTGTCACTATTTGAATGTATGTTCTTGTATTTTTAATACTGTATGTAATTCCAATTCCCCTGTTTTCTGGAAGAATGTGAGAAAGCGTAAAGGCCTCAGGTTGAGGACATTACATTTTATTTGGGCTCAATGGGCAACTGGTCAAAGTTGTAGAGGAATCCACCCAGGACATGGACCAGAAGGTGCTAGCTCAGAAAGCCGGCACATGCTTAGAAGCCAGAAGGATGGTTCAGAGATGTATCTCTGCACGCTTCTTCTGGTTTTTTGTGTGGAATCAGTAACTTTGCCATTTATTCTGCTGCCAGAATACGGATTAGCAGGATTCATGCATTGTAGTGTGATTTTTTTTTTTTTAAGAAAACCAAACAAACCAGAACACTTACAGATTAAGACCAGTGATCAGAAGTGTTTATTATTGACTACTTGCAAGTTACAGCACTTCTCAAACTTGAAGTTTTTGTTGACGTTGTGTTCTTTTCAGTTGCCAGAAACTGTGAAAACAGCTCTCATGCACAAAGCTACACAATAACCATGTGAAGAAAATGAAGCAAGAAAGCACTCACAGATTAACTTTCACTTTATATAGCATGAGTTAAAGAGATAGGCAAATCCACGTAGCTTAGAATAATGTACAGTATTTACACTTAGAGACTATACCCTAGAATTAGGGTATGTAACTGTTCTGGCAACTGAGTAACACTGAACCAAGGGTGACTAAGACTCCTTATTAAAAACTTCCTCATCAGACACAAACTGGAAATGTACAGGGTAACTCTAGGTACTTGGTCATCCCTAAATCAATGCTTATAAGTGTTTAGGAGGAGCTGTGTTGCTTTAAAGGGAAGGTGATTACTTCTTTGGCCACCCAATTTCATGTAACAAAAAATAATTGCTTTTGATTTGCTCTTTTCTTTACAGACCACCAAATCCCATTGAATTTCTAGCAGCATATCTTTTAAAAAACAAGTCACAATTTGAGGACCGAAATTAACTCCATAAAAATGAGGACAATTTGGCTGCTAGACTGAAATGCTCATTTGCCGCAACTCGTTTTCTGCTGTAAAAATCCTTTGGAACCATGATGTCTTTCTTAATCGCACAATTTGCTTTACCTTTTGAGTTATTTAATAAAGAACACTTTACTTCGAATTTGTTCACTTGTTTAAAACTAGCTATTCAGAGACTTTCAAAATAAAGTACTGAAACTGCACTGCTGGATGAAAGTCTGAATAATTCCACGGGGCTGCATCACCTGAATGCATGAAGCGAAGGGGAACAATTTATTATGGGAATCACATGGATGACAATGTATATAACTTGATTTGATTTTATATAGCACCCTCCACATGCAACATGCCTAAATGGAAAGCAAACAAATTAAGAGCAGTTAGAATTTATTTTGAGGAAGTACTGATTAAGTAGAGAGGAGAGAACTTGCTTCAGAACACCAGGAAATGAGTTTAGTTAAAATTAGATTCAGCAGTTCCAGCGACTGACTACCCTCTTGCTGAACAGCCTTTTCCTAATGTTCAAGACAATCCTAACCAAAATACCAAGTATTCTGATTCTTTTTTTTTTCCCTTGGGTTTACTAACACCTCCGTTGTTTGTTTGTCCCATTCTTAACATCTTTTTCTGATCCCTTGTTTATTTTTCCTGTAATTTCTGTAGAGGTAAAGGCCACAGGGTACAATATAAGAAGTTCCAACAGAAGACTGGGGATCAGAAGAAAAAGCTAGAATTAAGACTGTAAACAATAAGCTATGAAAAAATACTAGTAAAGCTCTTTCAATATGAATATTGTGGCTGGAGAACTGGCTCGCTAGGTTATTGGCAATGGGTACAGAGACTAGACACAGCCCTCAGAATTCCTATTTTTGTTTTCTGAAACTTGTAACAAGGAGCATAATCAATGTAGTTTGATAGTACTGGATACTGGAATCCAGATTAAGCATAGTCCAGTTTTTAATAGACCAGGAGAATGTCAGTAATTGTTTTGACAGTCACAGAAATGGTAAACTTGGCTTCCACCAGTTGCTCAACTAATCAAAATCTTGTTTTTATTTAAATAAACTTCAATATTGCCATCTTACCATTCCCATCTTCATTCTGTGTTCCTTAGCTATTGCTTTAACATAGCAAGCAGTTAAAACCTTGTAAATTAAATTCTTTGCTGCAAGGGTTGGAGGGTTTTTTCTGGGTGGCATTAAAGGCTGCATTTTTTTTTTTTTTGTAATTACGTATAAATTCACAAAAAAAGAAAGAGACTTAGGATTCTCATTTGACTTGTTCCTGTGATGACTTAAAGCTATACACTGTATTCACAGCGTATTAGGTGGCCCACTGCACAGATAATATTTTCCCTTAGTTGTCAGACACATAGATGACTTTCCTATGGTAATCTGAAGATTTTTTTGTTTTAACATAGCTTTTATTCTGTAATAGTGTAGATACATGGGTGTAAGAGTTGCCAGAAGATAGATCCTTCAAAGAGGAAAACTTTTCAGTTGTCTGCCAACTTGCAGGGGTTGGAACGAGATCTGGCTCTTATACCTAGTAGGAAAGCTCTCAACATTTTACATATTTCTTATTATGCTAAGAGGGCAACATTGAATTAGTCCAAGAGCAGTAAGACTGGGCAACAAAAAACCTTGAAAGAAACCTGTAGATCTGCAAACCCAAGCATTTTGGAAAACATACAGAAATCGTGGAACGAGATTACTGATCCTATTGCATTGTGGTGAACACAATCTCCATCAAACACTGACACTTAAAAAAGACACTCAAAGGATTTTAACAACAGTGTTTTGACTTTCTGGAATGAATAATAATGTTTAAGTGAAGACACCATAAAGTCTCAGTACTGTTGTTTTTATTGCTAAAGTGGCATTTGAAGGTTTCATCCGCAGGTGACAACATGGCAAGATTGTAAGGATTGTTACACGTGAAAAAAAAAAATCTATGCTGATCCCAAATTTCTATGTTGAAAATTTGTGCAAGGCCATACAAAAAGCAGCAGCTCCTCTATTAATCTTCCCTAGACAGAGCAATTTTCCTGTAATATATCACCATGCCCAAATTCAGAATACAATCAGATTTCTCAGCTTACAGTAACAGCCTCCAAGCAGCTGCACAAAGCTTGTAAACACACTGGGCTTCCGACAGCTCTTGCATCGACCTAGAATCTCAAAGTATGAATACCAGTCTTAAAGGTGAGCTGTCCTTGCCAGCAGCTTGCCACCTACTCAGCTGTTGGTGCCATCGTTTGGTACACAGTGTCACCAGCTGCTGTCTTCCCATCTAAGGCTAGTTCAAGAGAATTAAAAAGCCATGTTCACAAGGTGATGATGTTAGAAGATTTACTACAGCAGCTTTTCTGGGCAGCTCCCTCCAAGAAAATAAGCTGAAATGTTACTAGCAGCAGTGAACTCACCAGCTCTAAGAAATAAACGTGATTCTTGCAAGGGTATGACAAGTCAACAAGTGCAACCATATCCCTTTACCTGTTAAATTGGCTCCACCAGTTAGGATCTGCTGCATAGAGAATACTCTGTAATGGGAATAAGATAGCAAGTTACTATCTGAATAATCAGATCATATCCGAATAATCCATTTCTCAAAGCTAGGGAAGGAATAATAAAGTCCAAATTTTCAAAGTATTTACTTGTTTTAAACTCTCCCTGCTACAAAACAATGAAAATTCTGTGAAGAGACTTGACAGATGCTTGCTATCCCCATCTAATCCAGAAAGAAAGAAGTACTACTTTTCCACAGGGAAAATCAGATCTGAGGGCTTCAAGATAAATGTATTATAATTTAGAAGTACAAATTGAAAACCAAGTGATTTTACGTTTATAAAAATGAAGAACTCATCAATAAAATGGAGAACAGATGTAAGGGGCTACAAGTTATTAATTAATAGATGTAGAATAAAAGCTTGAAGAAATAAATGAAAATGGCAACTTTAGATGCATGACAGGCCACTGCTAAGTAGCTGAGAGCCATTATCTCTTGATTCTAGAGCAATGATTTTTCAGTTTTCTCCACACTACCGTAGGTAACCGAGTCAGTATATGCTCGGAAGGACAGTAAAATGAAGCAGAAAATAAAACGGAATACCTGGTTAACACCACAGCACAACTTCCAAGATGACTATTTTAGATCCAATATCCAGAAGTTACTATTCAGTAACTGTGAAAGCATTAGATATGACTCATATGCAGTATTTTGAAGTCTGCCTTTTTAAATGCTTCTACCAAGAACATTATTTTTTACCTTGAAGGGGACAGTGACAGAAGAAAGGATTTCTCACTAAAAGCAATTCTGATCAAAGGGTTCTACATCCTCATGTTCTGAAGCCTGTTACCCTCCAAAAATACAGTTTGACTTGCCAGATCTTTTTTTGCATCTCCGAATTATCAAGGACTTTCTCCAAAATCAGTACAGGTCTTTGAGCTATCCATTTTAACTTCTGAAGTGCTGTTGCTATTGTAAATGCCGTCTAATCAAAAGAACTTCTCTCCCCCCATCAGACTTTCTAGAAATAAAACAGCTGCTTTCAAACAAATGAAAAATCTGAAAAATTCTGAAAGATATAAGCAGCTGAAACCAGTGGGTTGGAAAGGAAACATAAGAATCCCTATGCCTGCCATGCTTGATAGAATACAGGTTTTGATTTATTCTTATCACTGCTCTAATTACGTAACAAATTATTCTTAGCCAAGCCTTGTGTTCCCTATTCTATTTCATAGTCAGAATTCATTTTAAGAGTGACTACATAGCCTAGATCACAGAAATACAGAATGCCGGCTGTTACAGAAAGGAGCATTTTACCATGATTAAAAAAGCATCATCAGCACCGCTTCTGCTATCGCTCACTATTCAAATACAGTCTTAAGGGAAGACTTAAAATGGAAATGCTGTGTGAATAACTACAGGGCAGTTTACAGCAGTGCTAGTGCAACACTGACTAGGAACGTGTCATACTCTTCTTCCCAACATGCTTTTATCTCTCTTCTCTAAGTTTGCTTTGCAATTGTGCATAATAAACCAGTTTTCTGAGAGGAGCCTAAATGGATAAAAGGCTGCTGAATGGTTGAGAAGTATCTCCTGGAGAGCATATGGCCACCTTTTTTCTCCAGTATTTACAAGGTGGATAATTACCCATTGATAATATCTCGGATGCTACTACATTGCACAGGAAGTGGAGATACTTCCTTTGTAAGGGCTGTGAAGTTTGGGGGTACTGCTTTTAACAGTAGAAGGAAGGACTGCTAGGAACAGCAGGTTCCTCGGATGGAGAATGACAGTTTGTAAAGAGAAAAACCTAGAATAACAGTGGCAGTGAACAGCTTCCTTAGAAGGGAGGAGACAGGAAGTGGACAATGTGAAAAGCACAATAAAAAAGAAGGTAAAATAAGCCATCTGCAAGAGGACAATGAGAGCAAAAACCAAGTAACAGACCTTGAAAGCTGGGCCAGCTGAAGACATGGGCTACCCAAGCGGGGCACGGGATGTTACACAAGGAAAACCCTGCACGCTAAGGGCATACAGACTGGCCAGTCACTCTTGCCACAATCTGCCCTCAAGCTTTTCTTCCAGTAAGGAACAAACTGGCAGCAGACATACATGTGTAGCAGTGGTCTGTGCTTCAAGGCTATGCTGGCTTGGGGGATTGTCCATGCATTGTGTCGTGTCAACCCTCCCCTGCACCTCTGGGAAAAATGACTGAAATAGCTCCGAACAGGTAAGTGCTCCTGTTACTTCTCCCCATACAAACAGTGCTCAGAAGAATTACAGACAAAGCAGGAGGATCTCACAACTTAAACCTATGCTTCACAGCATTCACTGAAAGCTGAGCTCAGTTTCTCAGCCTGTGGCTAAAACACTACCATACCTCTGTGTCCTGAGCACCAGGAAGCCCAGCACCACCATCTTCTATTTAACTGAAGAGCTGCCTGCTTTTCCATTTCTCCCTCTTTCATTTACGTTATATGGTACTGAGGAAGCGTGTCATCAGCCCTTAAACAAAGAAACAATCCATGATCAGGAGGTGATAGTTATAAGTTTAAAAAGAGGAATCCACAAATCACTAAATGCTGCTCAGTGGTATTAATTCCACCTGTGATAGGGAACAAAGAAAAAAAAAAAATCCTACTGTCACCCTTGCTAGTGGAAACAGCAGG